CTACACATAGAACAACAGGAACACAGAATAAAAGCACACAGCCATTCATGCCTCGTGTGGGATTCGAACCCACGATTACAGTGTTCGAGCGGGCGCAGACTGTTCATGCCTTTAGACCGCGGGGCCACTGTGATCGGTACTGAAATCGAAATGACCCACGTAATTTGGCTTAAGTTCGTGAGGCCAAGTTGAACCGAAATCAGTTAGGTAGTTTAGCGGTGTTATTTGCGGGCGGGCGCGGTGCATGCCCAGACATCTATAGGCATTTTGAGTAGATCATGAGTCCATAACTCATGTGGCCAATCGACTCACTCCACAGAAACTAACTGTCTCTCAGCTACTCAATAAATTTCATGCCCTTTTACGGAACCCTAGGGTTGGTTTAGTGCCGTTGGTCGTTATAGCCCCCCGCTGGACTTTCTTCTGGGGGAAATGAATCCGGTTATTACCGCCCCCGCCATAATATTGTCACGTGTTTTAGTGACTAAGACGCGGGTTTTGATTGGTGTATCGCTTTATTGGATCTTCACTGGTCTAACTACAATTAGTTCTTACACTCTCAAGATTACTGTAACTATAGCACATGTAATGTCACACATTAAGTCTTCTCATTCTTCTTCTGGCCACACTGTTGTTCCCTTGGAACTTCGGAACTCAACTGAAGTCAATTCCCATTCCCGTAATCTCTCATATCCTCTCGGCACGGACAACGCACAGAAAACACAGCCCATACTGTTTCGTAGCGCAGACCACACGGAAAACAAGTCGCGTGATAGCCATCTCGCACGTCCATTGGCGCGCTGACTGTTGCCTAGCAACGAGCTATAAATATTCGTTCTATTGTTGCGTGCGCGTATCGCGGTGTGTTTATCGAGCCGTTGCCTGGAAATGCGTTGGCATGTCACGATATTACACTCTCATCTCCGCTTAAATCTTCAAAGTCTCTTTTCTCCAGGTGTTCCGTCGAAACTACTTTTACGTATATTTCATCCCTACCATGCCTACTACATGTCCCGCCCATATCTTCCACCCTCAATGAATAAATATTACAAAATATATGTAGATCTTGGCTGTGAAATGGATCTGTCAGTTTGACAGGACGTAAATATGTTTTGTGATGATTGTGGGGCCAACCCCACAGACCGCCATATAACAACCACAAGAAATATACAGAATGATTCACGTTAAACTGTATCCCAACAGCAAATATACTCTGCACGTCAGTTTGTAATCGCGGGATTTTCTGGCGTACAGCAACCCTGGGAAGCTTTCGGCGCTGCTTTCTGAACTCATTTATGCTTCATGTTCAGCGAGGTATAAAGCCCCGCGTTTCTATTTGGGTACAGATAGCTCTGCGGCGTTACAGCAATGGGGGTGGGGTGACCTTTCGTTCAAACGACCCCAGAGACAGGTGGAAGCACAGCGCAGCAGCAATCAGCACAGTGACGTCACCACTTCACCTAGCACAGCGCTATCTATTTACAGCCAGTGGCCGAGTTCCCCCACCCGAGCGGTAAGGTGGCTGCCTGCACATGACCGTTCTCCACACAATTTATTTCCCTGAGACGGTCATCATCTTGGGCTTCCAAGCAAACATTGTCGAATAAGGATTCGAGGTTCTCACAGCAGTGGGATATACTCGTAACATCGTGCAGTCCGTTAAAGTCAACCGACGTTTCTGAGGAACATATCGCCTCCATCTTCAGGGTCGAATAAGCTGAACAAGAAACCAGCATAAAAACGGGTGACAAGCAGAGCTCTATTTTCACGCTTGTTTCTTGCACGGCTTATTCTTCGACCCTGAAGATGAAGGCGACATGTTCCTCCGAAACATCGCTTGACACTGAACAATCCTTCTGGCTGATTTTCCCGCTCTGATTCTCTGGATCGTCTTCTAGCCGTGCTATTATGGCAAGGCGCCTGTCAACAGTGGCGACAATTTCCCATGTCAACGCATGCCCGTTACTAGCAACGGTGTCTACTTGTCGCGGATGCAATGCTTCCTTCTTCCTCGAGGTCCCGCACCGTGAGATCTACCACTAACGAGACTAGGGGGAGCCGCAATGCACGTGCTGCTGCTCACTCGCCAAAGAATGGCGACCAGCCGTTAGATAGGAGAGGCACTTCTTCCCCGTGGGTAAAGTGGCCGGGGCCTGAAGCTGACCACTCACCTCCAACTAGTGCCGAGGTCAAGAAAATGTGGGCCTAGGCCTACCTCCATGAACTTCTCCGTTCGCTTCGGTTTTTCTAGATCTTACACATATGGTAGGACTCCTTGGGCGAGTGATCAGCTCGTCGCAAGGCCTCTAACTGTAGACAAACACAGAAAAACGCAAACAAACATCCATGCCCTGAGTGAGATTCGAACCCACGATCCCGGCTTCCGAGCGAGTGAAGACAGTGCATGCCTTAGACCGCTCGGCTACCGTGACCGGCTCGTGCGCGCATATCAACACCAAAATAGATGCCCCCCCCCCCCCAAAGAGGAAAAAGACACGTAAAAAACTTCATTTATCAGCCCTTCCGTGCAGTTCATAGCAGAGCGATGTCCGTGCAATACAATGGGAGAGGGACTGGACACTGTGACAGGAATCCTTACGTCACACACGCCCTCAGCGAAGCACAGGCTTATGGGTGCAGGCCGAGATGGGAGAGAGACATAGAAATCTGTGACGAAGCGTAAATGACTAAATGTGTGCGTAAAGGCAATTGTGAAATTCTGAACCAACCCCGTGTATATGCTACATTTACTGCTTCCTATCTGTGCTACACAACCAGCCCATCGGCACATCATAATGTGTCAGCTTCACACACCACCGCGTCTCATTTCTCGGAGCCTTCCCAACGAAAAGTTTCAAAATGGCGCCTATCTGTATCGCCACGTTCGCCTATCTGTCGGTTCCCGCGCTGAAACACAAGAACTGCTAGATAGAATTTCATGAAATTTTACATTAGGGAATTTTATGAATACCTGTTGACATATTCAAATTTGTTTTAAAATCGGACAACAACGACGGGAGGGGAATTTTACACGAGGACCCCCTGTCTGTGTCCGCATCTCGAGCGTAACGCGCTGAAAACGTTTATCAGAATGAAAAATGTCCCGAACAAAAGTTGTAGAAAAAAACGGAGCAGAATTTTTATGACCAAGATATTTTTTCTACGTTTTATGGATTTACGTATAATTCAGGAAAACAGATTTTTTAAATCTAGATGTAGCACCTACGCGAACTGTTGCACATTTTATAACACGAAGATGCCGCAAGGCTAACATCATAGTTACAATTTCTTTATTAAAACCGTCACAACACAACTATATTAAGGTCAGTGTCAAGTCTGGCACTACATGTTTCGGCTATTAAAAGCCATCAACAGGCAAATACATGTCAACATATATACAACCACTGAACTGCAGTACTAATAAAATTGGATATAATAATATTAATTATATTAAAATACTTGGCGTAAAACTGCAATAAATTAGATTATATAAAACAAAAGTTACAGTATAAAACAAGAATAAAATTCTTCGATTGATGCCTTCATCATCGAGTCAGTCGTTAGTTTTTGTGATTTTGTTGCTTTCCCAAGGACAAATTGGAGTATACTATATTTTGTGTATATATAATAAACTGTTATTGGAGCCTCGTGATGTAGATAGTAATATTAATGTTAATTATATAGTCGGGGCCTCATCTTACAAATCTTTTAATAGCCGAAACATGTAGCAGAGCCAAACTTGGCACTGACCTCAACATAGTTGTGTTGTGACGGTTTTAATAAAGAAATTGTATATTACAATACAACAGGATACATGAAATGAAAATCACAATTACACGTCAGGCGGGGAAGAGGTATGGCACAGGCCAGAGCACTCAGGTGTTAACAACTGAGGGAGCCATAGACCATTATTTGGAGCAGCTGCGATGGTACCATTCCTTGGAGTTCTGTGTGCTCAGCGGGGTCTCCGGTTTGGTTATTTGGTTCTGAGAGTATAATGTAGTAACTTTCTAACGATTACGCATCTTCAGACACGTTGTAGACAAACAGAACGCTGGCACTTACTGGATATGTGGAGGAGAAACCCCTTACTCATGCGGCAACTTCTCCGACACAACTGTACTGCTAGGTAGCGTGCACATAACTGGCAGGCGGAAACAATTCGACTGACTTGACGACACATTACAAGTGTATGTTGAATATGTACTAGTGGACAGACGACAAGGAGTGGTACTCCATCCTCATACTGTCCTAAAATCTGAGGTTTTCATGGCACCGAAGATTCATACTGGAATGTTCCAGGTTAGAAAGTGGCTTCCATCTTAAAGATGGAAGCAGTCCTTCCAGCGAGCTGGATAACCGCCTGGCAGTTACACAGCATCAAAACCCAAAACACTGCATATAAGATCGCTGTTATGGATTCATGACAAAGTTTTCGGAAAGACTGATCCTTTGGTAGAATTAAAATCGAAGGGAACAAGATTCATGTGTTTCGGAACTCAGAACACCACACTTTTACAGATGACAAGTTCATTATATGAACTGTATGCCCGAGGATAATATTAAAAAGAAACGTAAACTAAGTAACCCTTAATATCTAGGATTTGATGTTAACATACCGCTGGTTATGAAGAGTTCTGTCCTTGAACGCCAACCGACGTTTCGGAGGAACATGTCGCCTCCATTTTCACGGTCGACGAATAAGCCGAGGAAGAAACTAGCATGACATAGTTACCAAGCAACTTGTTACATCCCAGAACAGAGAACTCTTCAGGCATTAATGTGTTCTTCCCTTAAAGTGAGTGACCGCGACTCACAACGCAAACCAACAAGTACAGTTATATATCGAATTGTTTCGTGTTCCTTCAGCAGACAGATACGCGACTATGGACTGGGCATGGCAGTGCTCGCGTGAACAGTGGAAATGCGGGCCCCAGGCGTGTTGGGCGCACATCCAGACCAGTTCCAATCTAGGCCTGCAGGCGGCTGGCGCTACTCACAAAGTCAGGGTCTCGTTCCAGACGGGGTTCAGAGACGATCTGATAGTCTTCGTTTTCTTCTTAACGTTGTCCGAGTCGGGGATCAGCTTCAGCTTCACGTAGGGGTCCGATGAGCCGTTCGGATCCATTGGGATCAGGTTCCTTCCCTGGCGGACTGCAAGAACAAGAGAAAGAATCACTTATAACAACAGCTCAGACGGCACCAGTCAGGTGGCTTCCTTGGTGCAGCCGACAAAGGGTGGTCTACAGCTTGGTGACCGGGAAGTCAGCAGCGTAGGGCCACGTCGCGCCTGAGGCCCTCACGGCACAGACATTGCGCGGAAACACTTTCCGACGCTGTTATGTTGGGTCTGAGGTTCTCACAGCGGCAACTAACTTCTGCGATGTGACACCGTGCAGTCCAGTGGAAGTTCACCGAAGTTTCAGAACAGCATAACGCAAAGCAAGTACGCTGCCTGCTTCTAACTCGTTACGTGCTTAGCTTACTCGCCATTGCTGATGATGGCAGCATTATATTCATCAGAAAGTTCGTTTAACTTCTACTGATTGCTCGGCGTTAGATCCCAGAAGAGAGTACTCTTGTAAAGAAATTTCCGCTTGTACACTCTGTTTCTCTAAAATGTTTAAAACTATAATTTTGCCTGTGCTTCTGTATGAGTGTGAAACTTGGTCTCTGACATTAAGGGAGGAACATAGACTGAGGGTGTATGAGAACAGGGTGTTGAGGAGAATATTTGGACTGAAGAGATATGAAGTGACAGGAGGATGAAGAAAACTGCACAATGAGGAGCTTCTCTTCGCCAAGTACAATTACAATGATTAAGTCATGGAGGATGAGATGGGCAGGGCATGTAGCAGGAGTGGGGAAAAAGAGGCGTGGATATAGGATATTGGTGGGAAAACCACAAGAAAAGGGAGCACTCGGAATACCGAGACGTGGGTGGGTGGACAAAATTAAAATGGATCTTAGAGAGATAGGATGGGAGGGTATTATCACGTATATTAGTGACTTGTAGGCGGGGTTTGATTTCGCACAGGTCGTAATTACAAGTAATTATAACACTTTCAAGATTACTGAACTACATCACACAAAGTCGTCAACGTTTGCTAACATTTCACAGCGCAATCCTCACAACTCCTTTACATGACGGCTTCGTGTTCTTGACTCACGGCTTCTCAACTACGACTCTCTGCAAAAGACCTTCGTTGTCTTAACGTCCATGTATTTATCGTCCGTTGTCCCCTATTAACCTTCGGCACGGTCCATGCACAGGAAACAAAGCCCCTCTATTGTTGTGTGCTATTCTGTTGGGGGTCCCACGTGATCGCTACTTAGCCAGTCCATTGGCACGCTGGCTGCTGCCTAGCAATAGGAAACACTCTTCATACTGTTGCATGCTCGTATTTCTGGCGTGGCCTAAAGATGGACGTCCTTCTAGTGTTGCGTGCACGTCGGTTGTGGGGTGTTTAGCGAGCCGTTGCCTAGCAATGATTTGAGCAGATCCGTCACAGTATGGACTGGATCGATCTGGCTATTTTTTTATTGCTAGTGGGGTGGGACTAAGTCCCTTGTACCGCGGCCACTTCTGGCCTATTGTACCAGCTCCAGATGATAGGTGAGGGTGATTGTGGAGCAATTGGTGGAATGAAGATTGGCAGGGGAAACCGAAGTATTCGTAGAAAACCTGCCCCAGCGCCACTTTGTCCACCACAAATCCCATTTGACCAGACACGGGATCGAATCCGGGCCGCCGCGGTGGGAAGCCAGCGACTAACCACTTGAGCTATGGCGCGGCCTCATCGATCTGGCTTAGGATAGGGACAAGTGGAGAGCTCTTGTGAAGACGGTAATGAACCTTCGGGCTCCATAAGATGCCGGGAAGTTCTTGAGTAGCTGCACAATTGGCGTCTTCTCAAGAAGGGCTCAGCTCCAGGAATGAGCGACACTCTGTTTATCTGCGATGCGATTAGCTTACAGCAATAAACTCATATCCTCGTCAATAGGAAAGGCGTATGAGTAAGAGCAGACGACGAACTTCGAAACACGTGTACTCCAGTGGAGTACGTGCTATTATACGCCTCAAGGAAACACTGTTGAATAAACTGGCTGCGCATGAAACATACAACGAGAGCCACTGAACATTAGAACAGGGCCAGGAAATGAGAAACAGATATCGCGATAAGGGGAAGCACACTGTAACGGTGAGGAATGTTGCTATGGCAACCACATCTGCAACTGGCAACGTCATTATCTGAAAGCGTTCAAACTTCTCTACCGATCTGCGTAACAAATGTTGACACTTGTACACAATGATTTCTATACAACAGAAGTTTACTTCCGACGAGCCAGGGTAACTACTGATCTGTGCTACATTAATATAAAATTTGTTATTCGCGAAATTTGAAAACCAGCTTTCTTTTAAACATTAATTTATGTAATGCAGGTCGGTAATTCTCGAAGCTCTCGTCCGTAGATTATATTATGAATAATTGTCCATTTTCTTAACGGTGCTGTGTGTCAAGTTCAGCTTGGCTCTAGGATCTGAACCTACGGCCTACCCGTCCTATTTAAACCCATACACTTCGAGGCTGCAAGAAGATGGACCAAGCTGCACAGGGGCAAGTTTCGTAGCTGCTCTCATCACTCAACCTTCTGAAGCACAGCAGCAGCTACACGTTCCCAAGGATTCAACGTTAAAAGAACTGCGTACTTATGTCCTTGTCTACTATGAATCGACTGGTCTCTGTCGTGCACACGAGGTGTTCTCTTTATTTTTTGTGCTGTGACATGTAGACCCGTTTCTAGGCAATGACCGCGAAATAAGCAACTATACAGCCGTTGCTAAGTAACGGTTCAGTAAACAAGCATATTTTCACGGCAACAAATAAAGAGCAACAGAGGAACGGTGTTTTCTACACGCGCCCCGTCGAAATGTTATAAGCAGGCAAAGTTAGTTAGTGAGGTTTGTGAGTTGGTTGGTAAGTTAGTCAGATAACCACTGGGGTTCAGTTGTTGTGAGCTGCTGCTGTCATAAACTGGTAGCTGAGGCCACGGACAGTTCAGGAACCAAGAGGAAGGGGAACGTCCGCCATTGAAAGCCGCTACCAAGCAACGTCTACTGAAGACTCTAACAGACTGAAAAGACCTAGTGTGTCCTATAGTGATTCGTGAAATATGTAGAACAATGACAGCATAATCTTTGCTTGCAGTTACGAGTTATAAGACTTCAATAAATCCGATTACAAATGCAAACGCCGTTTATAGTCACTAAACCACGAGAAAGTATTATTTAAACCAGGGTTTTCCGTGGGTTTCTTCGAACCTGAAGCAAATTCGACGCTGATTGCATGCGTCACATGAAGCCCCCTCCAAACAGTGTACCATCAAGACTTCACCCCCATCCAGCCCCTTCCAACGTTACTATCAAAATTTCAATCATAAGCAGTAAAACCTCTGTTCAAGTTCCAATAATGAGGCAGCTTAAATATGTGAGATGAAACTCGGAAAATGTGGCCACGTAAACCGGTTCTTTCGCCTCTTTGTGTGGCTACAATAGCACAACTTTTGTGCAGACACTTCTCACAAAATGTCACGACACAGCCAATCAGGGCGAACTCTACAAGAGGCTGAGGACGGCAGCTGAAGAGCCACTGACGTAACGCACCTCACACTGCTCATAAACATTCATGTCTACCTCCGGACCTCGCACCTCAGCAGTTAGAGATATGGCGGCGGTGCAAAACTCTGTGGTGGTCTACCCAGGTATCTGCCCGGGGGGGGNGGGAGAATCCGGTAAATATCACGAAATTCTCAATCAGTATATCTCCGCAGTATATCAGTATCTCCGCAGAATGTGTTCTCAGTGTTCTGAGGCATGAAATTATTATGAACAAGAAGTTCTGGGAATAACTAATCGCCAACTTTTCTTCCGATAAAATATGTGTATTTCATACAAGTAAAAAAAAAAAACAAACAAACAAATATGAATGTGTAGAGGTAAAAGGTAAAGTTGTCCCTCATGAAATCAATAAAGGTAAAATATAAAGCTATCCATGTTAACAGGCGGCGGAGGCCCACAGGGTTGTGAGACGTCGAGGCTCCCAAATTTTCTAGTCAATCGGCTCACAGAGGCGGTGACGTTGTCAGTCTTACGCATCGGCCGCCCTTCACCTCCAGGAAGATTCCTGGTATTCATTTCCGTTAGAGGCTGTGTCGCCCACAGGGCCATAATGCTACTGGAAATATTAGGTAAATTGAAAAATGAAAAAAAAACTAATCAGGAATCGAACCCGTACCCTTCCGGTTTGTAGCATAATGCCTCAACCAACTACGCTACCAAGACTCCCCAACACCGTGCTAACACGTATCCGAATGTACGCTCCAGCAGAAATATTTAATTAAATAAGTTACAATCTCGAAAACATGGTCTTTCATTCGTCTGGAAGTGTAACTTCATTTTTACTGTATTCTGATAGCTTCATTCTTCACTAAACATACATGCACACAGAAAAGAGGTCCATTAAAGGATTGTGTTATTACATCCATGAAATTAGTGTTTAAATGGGATTAAGCTTATGGTTTCCACATCAAAAATTATAGCGGCCGTAATACTGGTAATGCCCAGGGAAGATATTTATGACATGTCCCATTCGAAGTACCTCATGTGGCATGGTTTTTATACGCAGTTTCATGACGATCGGTTCAGGTATTCAGTAATATTAGGGTTATTGTCGCGACAATTTGAGGGGCTTCAGTGTTGGTATTACTGATGGGTTTATGAAGTACGCCGCTGAGGTAGCCTCAGGCTAGTTTCATGACGGTCGGTTCAGAAATTCGACATTAATATTATTAGAGGCGACTGTTGTGTTGGTATTACTGACGGCTGTAAAAAGAGCCTCAGGTGGCATGATATACATATCGAGCTTCGCGAAGATTTGTTCAGGGATTCAAGTGATATAAGACTATTACCTCAGGTAGCGTAGTTGGTTGAGGTACTATGCTACAAGCCGGAGGGTCGCAGGATCAAATCCCGATGAGGCCATTGGATTTTCTTCAATTTACCTAATCCTTCCAGCCGCACTATGGCTCTGGGGTCGACTCAGCCTCTAACAGAAATGAGCACCAGGAATATTCTTGGAATGTTCTTGGGGGTA